GTCAACAAGATGGCTCTAGCAGTGGTATAACTGGTCAGCTTTGGTCACTTCTTTTCGTGGAAGTTTTCTCAGTTTTGAAAATGGTTACATGTGTGAGATCTTGCACAGCTGGTAAGACGCACAGCCAGGCCTAAACTGGCTATTGATCCAATGTCTCGAGACACTTGGCATTTGGAACAGGAACCACATTAGGAACTGTGCGATGTATTGATTGAAAAAACACATACGTGTCTTCATTTAAGGAAGCTTGTAGAGTCGTATAATTTCTTACGATGTTTACATATATATATATATATATATAAGTTCATATCAGAATCCTTAAATCTGTTTATGTTATCACTACTTACTTTTTCCAATACATTACTAAATTAAGAATTTTCAGAAGAAACCATAGAAGCACACATTATTTGATATCATCGCGTGTTGTTATCAGATCTATCAACTTAATGGTATTTTCACCTGAGTCTAGTAGATATTGGTAATAACTCAAAATAGAAATGCAAAGTTGAAACCTTATTAGATTCCTAGACTAGAGCGGCCCAACTTTTGACCAATGAAAGGCCGGACAATAAATAATGTAAACACACTACAAAATATTATTTTTTGTTATGATTAAATTAAAATCTTTGAGGGAAAATAAAAATTACTTGAGAGGCCAGATGTAGCAGGCCAATTGGACAATACTGCTCCAAACACTGGCCCCAGGTGGCTCAGCAGCAAGACTGAGGACTTATAACACTACACATCGGGTTTCGATACCAGTGGGAGGCAGAGTACTGATAGCCCATAGTTTAGCTTTGGGCTTAGGTGGGTAGGCACTCCTAACCCATTGTTTAGTGTACGCAGCAGTTGCAGGTTATACCATTAGGGTAATGTTGTTTTTTGCTAGAGTTAAATGCAGGGGGGAAACCTTATTAACTAAAATCACGAACGTCTAAATGTAATCAATCATATCGACAAATACGCTCTTCATCAGATTACACTGCTCAAACGTGGATGTTCAAAAGTTGTTATTAACCTAATCAAATTTAGACATATATAACTTTATTGTTACTATGCAGGTTACAGTAGTGTAGTGAGGATACGGTTAAAATCAAAGTAAGATAATATCTATAAAAAAAAATGCAAATTCTTGCTTGAAGATGAACTGATTCTACTCAAACATGAAATGATATCAGAAACACCAGAATCAATAATTAAGATCAAGAACTATGAAAGATGTTTTCCCTGTACATATAAAGCAGCCGTCAAACGAACAGTAAGTATGTTTTAATAAACATTTTTGAAAGTTCTTAATTAAACACGAACTGATCATTAAGAATGTGAAATCAAGGTAACGAAAATAACAGAGACTCAAATATATTTATTTCCATATATAAATTTTTCTTTGGTATATGGCATTTCAGTATATACTATATTAGTGACTTTGTCAATTATTTTCTTCCTTACTGCGAAATGTTTTTTACTGCGTTTACTGAGTCCAGATATTTTTTATTAAGCTAGAGCCTTCTCAAGATCAAACATGAATGAGAAAATGATTTGCTGCTCTTATAAACAAGAAATGGAAATAAAGTTGAACAAAATACAAGTTTAACTCCAAACTTATAAAAAAAAACAACAAACAAACAAACACTGGTTAAAGAAATATCACCGCTTTGGTTAAAATTTCCTTGTTCACGTGATCACACCTCTCGAATGTGGCTTGGTGATTGGGGCAATCGAATCGCGATCTACGGGTCGTGAGTTCGAATCCCGTTACTGAATATGCTCGCCCTTTCAGCCGTATTATAATGTTACGGTCAATCCCAATGTTCGTTGGTAAAAGAGTAGCCCAAGAGTTGGGGTGGTGGATGTTGTTTAGTTCTTTTAAATTTCACTTCAAAAGGCCCGGCATAGCCAGGTGGTTTAGAGCGCTTGACTCGCAATCTGAGATCGCGGATTCGAATCCCCATTCCCCCAAACATGCTCGCCCTTTCAGCCGTAGGGGCGTTATAATGTGACGGTCAATCCCACAATTCGTTGGAAAAAGAGCAGCCCAAGAGTTGGTGGTGGGTGGTGATGACTAGCTGCCTTCCCTCTAGTCTTTCACTGCTAAATTAAGAATGGCTAACGAAGATAGTCCTCAAGTAGCCTTTGCGAAATTCAACAAACAAACAAATTCTATAGAATGTAAAGAGACACATGTAGAAACAAGAACTACAAGAAACGAAAATGCATAGAACACAACACAACTAATTAGGAACTGATAATACAACTAAGAAGCTCACATAATTTAAATACAACAAACAAATATTTATATATTTTTTTAATTATATTATGCTGACTGGAGTTTTTTGCACATAATTATGAATAAATGAAACGATCATGAACACCAGAGAGTCTTTCAATATTATTTATTTACTCAACGTTTTGGCTTTTTGCCTTCTTCTATCATGCCATACAGAAAATGTATACTCCTGAAGAAGACATAAAACTAAAAGTTGAGGAAGAGATTGTGAGTTTAGCCATAAAGAGCATATAGTGGCGATTTTTAAAAGTGGAATTATCACAGATTGTATTGTAATAACAGAGTAGAGAATAATAATTCCCCTTGTCAAATTGTGTTCTTAAGTAACTGAACCAGACTGTGTGAAATTTGACGAAAAATATACAATTATTTAAAGCTCTAGATACAACTTTGATAACCTACAGTGTAACGAATATTTTTATATACTTTTGACTTGTTTTAATATATTATTTTAAAACAAACGGACTGTGTGTGTTATTTATTTATTGTTGAAATTTATCGCCAACAGGTCACAGACTCCTACTGTAAAGAATCCGTCCCATACATAAAATCTGCCCGTAATAAATATGCAAGCTTTATGCTCGTTTAGTACGGGTCTATATTTTATAAAATACCTGACTAAATGTGATTAAATTTTCATCTATAAGTTAAATACACTCACATCCGCGGTCCTTAAAATATTCCAATTTTCAGCAAGACTGTTGTTACTTTGTTTATAATATTAGTATTGTTTTTATGAATAAAATCTTGCAATGGAGTTGTTCACGCTCTTGGAGTACATTTGTAATTTGATTATGTTAATACGATAAGGTTATACATAGCTTTAAGTAAGATAACCAGTAATCACGGGCAAATCTCATCTTAATAAAAACAGGTTTCATTTCTCATTAGAAAATGTAATTATCTTGATCAGTTTACAGAAGATTATTCATGATGGACTTACATAAATCTGATTTTATATTACTGTTTTAATAATTAAGCTAATAATTCGTTTGTTTCTATAAATAATAAGATCGTAATCAACATTAACATTTTATTTATAAAAGTGTATATATGTATATGAAACTCAATTGTTGTTATTGTTTTCTTTACACAAGGGGCTATGTGCTCCCTCTCCACCGCGGGGAATCGTCGGATCTCGGATTTTAGCGTTCTAAGTCCGTAAATGGGGGACAATAATGAAATATGTTCAATAAAAGATTGTTACAATCACTTGAATATTTCGGATTTTTTTATATATACACCTGGAAAAAAGTTAAGCACCCCCAAATATTTTTCTAGGATTGCTTATTGAAAATAAGGTTTAATTTTCTATGATGTTGAGCAATGTTCATAATTT